CTCTCTGAGTCTTTTTTTCTTTCTCACGATCTGTCTGTCCCTCTGTCTCTGTTTGTCTTTCAGTCTGTTTGTCTGTCTACTTGTCTCCATCTCTGTCTCTCAGTTTCTCTCGTCCTTTCTTTCTTTCATTTTATCCTTTTTTCTTCGTTTATGTTTTCTGACTATCTATTTAACATTTTCTCCACACACACACACACACACACACACACAAACACACACACACACAAACACACACACACACACACACACACACACACACTCGTACACACATTAACAGTAAGAATCTAACATCTTCTTTCATTCCCAGTCCCGTTTACAGACCAAGTGGGGACCCAGTGCGCATGTCAGGCTCATCAAAGGAAGAGCGGGGACTCCAGGGAAGTAACGTCTGACAGACGACGGAGCTATAGGATTTATCTTTCCATTTTTATACAAGTTTATTATTCCCTTTATCATAATGGGGGTCTTGGAAGGTTTGGGTACACAGGGATTAAAATCTGTTTTTAAAGAGAAAAAGAAAAAGAAAAGAAAAAAAGGGGAGGGGGAGTGGTGCGGTTTGAAAAGGGGGTGGGGGGATTAAGGGTTTATGTTGTCCCAGTTTATTCCTGGTTAAATCCTAACTCGATGACTATAAAAATTTCAAGGGAGAAAAAACGATACTATGGATGTTGAAAGTTGTTTGTTTTGTTTTTGGAAATAAATTGCAAGACAACATAATATTGTACCTGCTGTATGAAAACTATATCAAACACTTTATTTTTGTACTGCTTCATATTTTCAAATGTCCATGATTTTTGCTCTTTATGTTTCGTGTGCTTTTTTGTTTTGTTTCGTTTTTTCAAAGGAATGAAAGAAAACCATGAGAGTTAGAATCTATCAGTATGATTATTAGAAATATTATATGAAAAACAAACACACTTCTATTTCCAAAGAAAGCATCAAGATCCTTTGGGAGATTTTTAACTTGCTTGATATGTCGTTCCACCTATATGTTGCACCTCCATCCAATATTATCATAACAGCTTTAGTGGGGCAATGTCAACTGTACTGATCTTTTAATGTACAAAGACAGATAAGCTAATTATGCTACTACGCTGGCATTAAAAGTATTAATAGGGCACAGACAAGAGCATGTTGAGGATATAAAATTAACAATTGCACAAGTTGGAACGTCTTCTACGTTCTGTCATTATCTGTTCTGCTCAGTACCTAGTTCTGAGAAATTGGACAACAACAAAATATTGTGGGTTTCACAATATTTCAGGCTTTTTCGAATGCAATACTTTGAATTGAACAGTTTGATAACGACTCCAGGTAACCTTACCACTTTTAGAGCAGATAAACGTGTTGTTTCTGACCTCATGGTCTTGGTAACTCAAACCATTCAAAAATGCCAGATAGAACTTTGTAACGCAAGGTAGCAAAATATCAACGTAAATACATTTGCATTTGAGTACTTTTTACATGGATATTGTAGCCTGCTCTTTTAAGCTTCAGCTAAAAAAACTGATGTGAATAATCTCTTGGAATAACGAAGTTATACATAGTTTTGTATGCCCAAAACAGTATTTTTCAGTCGCTTTCAAATTATCAGAAAGCACGTCCTCAATGCGTTAATATAAACATAACTGGTGATAATAAAACTATTCGCCTTGACATTTCTGCGCAGTGTTTATTCGTCTGCCTTCTGAATTGCTTGACAGGGAAATACAGCATATTAATAAGTATCTTACAGTGGGGATTGGCACAACCATAGACAATAATATTTGGTTTTCCACTATGTTGATCTCCAGGCAGCAGCCAAGTTGCTTGTTTGATGTGTGTGTGTTTTTGTTTTGTTTGTGTGTGTGTGTGTGTGTGTGTGTGTGTGTGTGTGTGTGTGTGTGTGTC